ATGATAAATTCAAAGCTCAGCTCGGCGAGTTGGTAGAGATCAGATGGCAAGAAACCCACTTTACGGAACCAACTGAATCTATTTACGTAGATTCTGTCCTGTCGAGAACTCGACTGAACATCGAAGCACATAATTGTTGACGCAGGGAATGTCTATTGCGATGGAATAGGATCCGTCAATTCACCTGCCTTTAAACCCAAAAAGGATTTTCAGTACAAGTTGGTTTTGAGAATATCTTAAGCTCATAAATTATTTAACTTAATCACTCTTAGTCGCTTAAGATGATTTAAGGATATGTAATCAAGTAAGTGGCCTTCATAAAGGAGGATTGCCGTCTCCGTTTCCGATGAGACCACATCGCGAATTTCTTCCAACCAACTTTCCCTTCGAAAGGGAGAGTCATGTCACAATAGTTTATCAAGGAATCCTTTGAAACACAGTTTTTATTCAATTAATTTTATTAAATGAATTTCGCTAGTTTGTGTGCTGCTCCATGCTTGTTGTTGACTATTAGTCTTAGCGGATTTCCCTCCTTGTGTATCTTCGGTAGTCCGTAGGCTGTCGGTGGTCTTGCGTCATTTTCTATTAAAGATTTCATCTTCCATCTGGCTTTCCACTTTCTTTGTGTACTTTTTCATGCTCATTACAACCGTCGCTCCTCCCCCTATCGTCCTGAAGAACTATTTGATCATACTTTTGTATCTTTTTCCGAATACCAGCCAATCTGCTCCTGTGTGTCGGTTCTTGATGTCTCAGGATCCGTGGGATTATTTCCGGTTACATCTCCCGCCTTTTAACTTTTGGATATTTATCCGCTATGTTGACAACTTCCACTAGAATATCATTATGAATGTTTCCTTCATTACCTAGTGGAAAATGTAACCCCTTCTTTAAGGGATCCGTAGTTTCATAATCAAGATGGATTGAAGATAGGTTTACTACCTTATCCTATCGTCGTATGTAGCAGTTGATGCCTTCAATACAGAACCATCAACATTTGTCTGGGTTGGCAAGGGAAAAAAATTGTAACCGTAAAGGTGGGGTAGGAGGATATAGGAAATGTGAATACCAAACTGCTTAGCACACGTTTGGTCGAAGGATGAGCTTCACTTATCTCTTTTACGAGTTGTTGTATGGTCGTAAGAATGGCAATACTCACTGACGATGCCGATTATGATGCCGGAGAAACGTCTGTGAATGTACCACGTCCACGGTCCTACTCTGGAAATGATGATGCATACAATGGACTCCGGAAGCATTCCTCTAAGTCTTCCTACCAACATGACCAAGTTGCGAAAATAAGGTCAAACAACTTCTATACGACGAGAGGAGACTGCGACCACACAAAAGGCCACACCATCTTGGTCTTCCTACCTTCTTGACTTAGTGTTTACTTGAGACCTCTTTCAATAATGATTTCCAACTCTGAAGATACCAGTCATATGATGAGAAAAAGTTTAGCCCAGTTTCACTCTAAATGAGGCAGCGTATCTCGCGGACGGCTTCAACATGAACGTTAAAGTACAACGGCCAGATCGACCAACGAATCTCCTTATCATGTACTTTCATACGAAATGAAAGTCTTTTGCAACACTGCTTTGGGGAAGCTGAGCTTTTTCCCACTTGACCTGGTTGGCAATGGATCAGGCCCGATAATCGGTGTCCATGCCCCGATGAATTGCCATGACTCAAAACTTGCCCATGGGAAGAAGAGTCAGACATGCCGTTGAGTTATCAAGCGATTTCGTAGCATGGCCCGATGCACCAGATAACGGCGTGGCCACAAATACAGGTTCGTAGGCACTGGCGAACTGAGACACACACACACACACACACACACACACACACACACATACTA